GACTCTAAGTTTATTCATCCTAATTAATTGAAAAACCTATACCAAGAACAAATATGTTTTCACGAATATAGAGTTTTTAAGTTTATCATAACTGGTATAAAAGCAATGACTTCTCAGCTTGTTCACTTTGTGGACACCAATTTGCAGCTCTGATTTCAAAGTAATAAGTAAATGTACTTTGTTATGTTTAACGTGCAAAACTAAACCATTTTAAAACATAAGTCTGTGTTTGAGTGAGAAGGATCTTCCTCTTACTTTGCAGCAGAAACAGCTGTTTTGAGCAACTTATAAGTTGTTCTACTTGTAAATAATAGTCATTACAGTTAAACTAAGGCAAATCAACTCAGCTGAGTAGAATTTACTGTCAATAGATATGTGGGAAGTTATAGACTGTGCCCAAGATGAACACATCAGCAGGAAGTGTCACCACCTTTGCAAGCTTCAACTCCAGGTTTCAGCTGGAGCAGCGAATAGAGTCAGTATTCTGCACCTGTGAAACAGGACTACGTTGATGTCGTGTTCATGAAGGTGGTCACAGTGCAGCTTAGGGGTTTATAGGCAGAAAGAGAATGAGTGATTGCCAGGTAGTCCATAGAGCCAGGAAGGTAGTACAGGAGTCCCATGAAATGATCTTGCTTGCAAATTGATTTTATACTTTGGATACTGATTAGGGTAATAGTTCTTCAAAGGAGTGCTGTCAGAGCCATGTAAGTGGTGCCATTAGTAACTCGGCTCTGGTTGAGGAATGGAAGAGCAGTCCTGATGAGGAATTCTTTAGGCGAACAGAAAGTCACTTCTGTGGCATAAATGTGATTTCAGGATGCTATACTGCTTCCCTGATGCCAGAGTCAAGGATGTCACAAACTAGCTGCAAGAATTTCTTCTGGGGGAGAGTGAACTACCAGACGTTGTGATCCATGCCAATATTAATGACTTGAGTAGGAAAGAAGTGGCCCTGAAACCAGGTTTCTGTAATCTGATTGCATCTTGGCAGGACCGGGGCTGACCTCTTTGCAGGAAGATTGCTTGTACTGTTGGGGAGGGTTTAAACTAGATTGGCAGGAAGGTGGGAACATGAGAGGGAATACAGAGTTGAGTAAAACATAACTGGCTAGAGTGGATTGGGGAAAATACAGTTTATAAAAAAAAAATTGATGGTGGAAAGGCAATGGCTAGTATTTGAAGAACTGACTACAATGTCTACAAAATTTTAAGCATTCCTTTAAGACATAGATGCCAAAGGGATAGGTGAATCAACCGTTGTTAACAAAATCCAGCTAAAGATTGCAGTAGATCAATGGAAGTATCTTATAAGAATACAAGAAATAGTGGTAAGCTTGACGTTTGCGAGGATTGCAAAGCAAGGCCAAGAATTTGATGGGGCAAAGACAATATGAATGCACGTTAGCAGAGAACATAAAGGCAGACTGTAATAGCTTCAATATGTGTGTGCAGAGATAAAGTTGGACCCATTGTATTTGGGGACAGGAGAATTTGTGGAAAACAGGGAAATAGTGCAGATAGTAAACTTTGTCTGTACCTTCTTCCATAAAGACATATATACAGTCAGTCACAAATACCAGGTAAGCAAGGGACTTGTGTAACTGAAGAGCTGAAAGAAAATAGTATTAGTAAAAAGTAGTATATGAGGAAATTGTTAAATTGAGAGATGAGAAGTCTCCTGGATCAGATGAGTGGTTATCTCTCTTAATTCAACAGATTCTGAAAATCCTTCTACTGACTGGAAGGTGGCAGATGTAATCCCATTATTTTAAGAATGGAGGGGATGTGGAGAAATCCAGACCAGTTAGCTTGACATCCGTAGTAGGGAAACTATTAGAATCTACTCAAGGCTGCAATAACCGAACCCTTAAAGAATAGCAAAATTGGGCAAAGTTACGAAAGGGAAATGATATTTGACAAACCTGTTGGACATTTTGGAAGATGTTAGTTGTAACATCTCATAGAGGAGATCAAGTGAATGCAGTGTATTTGAATGTTCAGTTTTTTTTTAATATATAAGGTGCCAAAAGGGTTAGTAAATAAAATTTCAAGTACATGGCATTGGGTGTGAATTAGTACAGTTAGAGAGTAAGTTGATAGAAAGCGGAGAGTTGGAATGAGCGGATCAGTCTCGGGATTGCAGGTTGTTTCTAATGGATACTGAAAGAACCAGTGATAGATCCACAGCTGTTCATAATCTACACAAATTAAGTATGTAATTTGAGTGGAAGACCAAGAGTAATATTTCCAAATTTGTTGATGCCAAACTGGCTGGAAATGTAAGTTGTTTTTTTTTCTTTTGAAAAGGAGGCGTCAAGAGGACTTGGACTTCTAGAACCTGGCAGATGGAATTTTGTGTAAATAAGTGTAATATTATTCACTTAGGTAGTTAAGAAATATTCTGCCTGTTTTCTTTAAATATTGAGAGTTTGGGAAGTGCAGGTGTCCAAAAGTATCTGGGTTTATGATTAATGTTTTGGTCTTGACTTAGATTCCAGAACACATGTAGGTTACAGATATTGCTGTGGAATTACAGATGGAAAAGTGACTGGATAATCACTGACAGGTTACATGGATTTTTTTTAAGAGCAAACTTAAGATGGGTGCTCAACTAAACCATATTTCCACATAATCACTGATTTTCTTCTGTCTTCATATCTGGTTATTTTGTATTTTGTGTTTAATCTCAGCAGTGGGCAGCAGCTTCACTCAAATCTTACTCTTCCTTTCTGTAATCCAGGTGGTTTGAGCTGTATAAACCCAAGTGTAAATGTGAATGTTTCTCATGAGGAGAATGTCTGTTTCAAATTAGCATACTTCTAATTTTTATTAATGCATGTCAATGCACATACTCGATGTATACAACAGAATTACTTGTAAACATCCAATTTCAGAAAGGTAGTTGAGTTTTTATTAATAATTGATCAAAATACCCAGTAAAGTTGTACACTTGTAGGTTTCACCAATGATTGTCAAACCATTAAGGTAAGACTAGATTTGTATTTCATGTGATTCTGAAACTTTTTTTTTTCCCCTGCAGTGCCTGTTAGTTTTCTAATTATGCAAGACTGTGTCAGCAGATATGAAGCTGGGTTGAGAATGTACTCGCTTTGAACTGGTGAATGGAATGCAAATTGAGCAATGTGACCAAGTTTGTATGAGCAAATTAGCATAGTTTAAAAGTAACAATACATTTTACTCTTGATCGTAGTTATGGCAATGGTTCTCTCATATGTTGAATAATTTCATTAAATGCAGTCTCATTTTAATTATGCTTGGGTCTCGGTACAATTACAAGACTGGATTTTGAATTGGCATTATTTGTTTCAATGAGACAAAACTGTAATTTAGCAACATTAATTTTAAGACAGGAGAACTGTCTTTAGGGTTAACTGTGAATACTTGAGACAGGCACTAACCTTTAAGGTATTCTGTCAGGGGATTTGCTTCCCAGCCTATTTCATTACTACCCTGTTCGTTTATTTCTAAGAATATCTAGCAGCAAACACAGACTAAATCATGCATCTAACTTCTGACTTTTTAGAAAAGGGGCATGCTAAGTCAAATATGTTTCTTGACCAGATATGTAAAATTATAGAATATAGTAAATCATGCTGAGGGTGAGAAAGAGGCGTTAAACTGCGAAGGTTGTTGTCCAAAAAACATTTGATCTGTTTTCACAATGTTGATCCCATTTCCATTGCTGAACAACTAGGCGTAGCTGAAGGTGGGTGTCTTACAATGTGCCAATAGGTCAGACCTGGACAGTAGAAAATGTTGACAGCCAAGAATCAGTTTGAATCCCATCAGCAGCAGCACAGCTTTAGACTGCTCAGTATTAACAAGCATAGTAGCTCTCAAAGCACTTACTTTGTTGCATAAGATCATGAGTCTCTCATTTGTTTGATGTTGTCTACAGAGAATTCAAAAGACCTCCTGTTGAACTCTTTAACTAATGTCCTAGCCCATTTGAAGTAAACACAGTAAAGGAAGTGAACTACAATAAACAAAAAGTTCAGTAACTCCAGCTGTTATTGTCATCCCCTTGGATTTTGATTGTAATGAGAGTAAAAATGGATCTTGAGCAAGATAAGTTCAACTTTCAACCTGCAGCTTGCAATATTTGACATTGTGTTGACCTCTAAATCTGATTTGTCTTGTAATCCATCATTATGTTTGTATTTATCCCATATGTTTTATCTTGAGCAATTTTATTCACCCTTTTCATTTAACAATTCAGATTGAAAAAGTTGAGTGATTAATGCAAATAAACTTGATGCGATGCAGGGTAGTGAAGATGTCTGTATTAAAGAGGATGTTTAAGTGTCGTTCGCTTTCAGTGGAAAGAAATGTCATGAGTCTATTATGAATGCGGAATGGCCCAGTATCTTCAATGCTGTGCGATGGAAATACTAAAAGGCCAAACCTTCCTACATTGTATCTTCTTCCTTTTGGAAAAGGTCCAGTTTGTCATACAGGGAAGCTTGTAATGCTGAAAGTATAAGTGGATAAGACAGTTGTGAAGTGAGAGGCAGATTCATGTTGTTTTGGGTTACCCCACTTAACGTCATTGGTGACTCTACCTAATCATATGGTTTTCCAAATGCTGTGTTGCCACTTCCTTAATAATATATTCCAACATCTTCTCTATTTGTAAGACAAAGTAGGATTTTGTTTTTCATCACTCTTTCTTTCTTTTTTCCTTTTGAAAAGTAGTTTTACATTTGCTGCTTTGTGGGACCCTTCCAGACTCAGAGTAGTGCTGTGCTGCTGTCCCATCTTGTGCTTTGCTATTTGAATGATCGTCAACTGAAATGAGTTTCAACAATTTGTTCAGTCCTTCCAACCCCTCTGCAGAAAAAAGAAGTAGGTTGTAAGTTGAGTACAACTTAAATTTGACAGATTACTTTAAGTCTAGAGCATTCACAGGAATATATCCAGCTTTTGTGCTCTATATTTGAGCAATGGAATACCTTTTAAATTTTTTTCTGTTGCAGGTCTGCAAGAGTCCATTATTGCAGCTGCCTGTTCTCGAATTGGCCAGAGAGTTCTTCATATTGACAGGTAAGCTACAATATTTTGCAGTTTTGGAAGGAAACCAGTCACTGTTCCTGCTGTCAGTCTATGATCAATTATCAAAGCTGTATGCTCGTCTGTGGAAACACTGCTTCCTTGACTTTAAATCATTTTATTTTCTGCAACCTCTTACTAAACATTTTAGAATTTATTCTCCTCCTGTAGTTATGTTGGTGAACTGAAATAAGATGCAAAAATCAAAGCTGCATATTTTGTTTCACTGCGTTTCCAAATATTGGCCTCCTGTTATACCTTAACATGAGTTAGAATTTTTTTTTTGCCAACAACAGCTTTTTTTTTAATGTGTTTCAAGTCTTTTAGTCCATGAAATGCAGTTCGTTCCCATTAATTCAAAATCCGGTAATACACATTAAAGGGAGCCGAAAGAAAGTAGAAGTTTCGTTACTGAATCACTAGTGTTGAATGTTTCTGTTTCATTACTGAACTTCCTGAACTAAGAAACAGTGATGTAACAGTGACTGAACTGTATTTCTGAAGAAGGGTCCTGACCCAAAACATTAACTTTCCTGCTCCTCTGATGCTGCCTGGCCTGCTGTGTTCCTCCAGCTCCATACTATCTCTGACTCCAGCGTCTGAAGTTCTTACTATCTCTGACCCATATGTGTGCTGTTTAATTGCTATTTTGTTATAGGCAAATGTGAAAGGCATTTTTGTGTGTACACGTCCTTTTCCAATCCATCTTTTCATTAATGGATCCATCATAGAGGCAGGACTGACCAGAAACACTAAATTTATCCTATTTTGTTTGCAAATTACTTGTGAAGAAATGAGAAACAGTCACAGCGTAACAGAATTTAATCACCAGTGACAAACAGTTGATGGGAGATGAGACTGAAGAGAGAAATTTAACAGTCAACATACCTTTTTATCTGTCATTAGTAATTTTAAATATGGGGCTGAATTTTTCTCTTGGCAACAAACAAATTACTCCAGCCATTTGTTGGACTTGTAATTTCAGTTTCTTGGGATCTTGCGGTGAAACTTATTGTAATTTGAGAATAGCTTTGGCATGGCGCCCTCCGCAGGGAAGCTACCACCTGTGTGAGCTACACAAGCCATGATATGTGGACATGCCGGTGTTGGACTGGGGTGGATAAAGTCAAAAATCACACGACACCAGGTTATAGTCCAACATGTTTATTTGAAATCACAAGCTTTCAGAGCACAGCCCCTTCATCAGGTGCAGTGAGAGAAGAGTACACAAACAGAGTTCCTGCTTTTGGAACAATACCAGCCTGATTTCAGTTTAAAACTCTGAGACTGACTCTGGACAAGGCCTCACACCTATAATTCAGTGTCTGACCTGAGATGTCACCTATTTTATATTCTTCTCACTCTGCCTGTTTGAAGTTTGGCAAGTTGGGGAGGCACTGATGAAACCTTTAATTATCTCGGGGCAGTGACTTGAAACAGATTGTGGAATTTGCATCTTAATCAATCGAAACTAACAGTTCTCCAAATCCTGCTTCTGCAATTTCCAGAATGCAGGAATGTATGAATGATTAAAGATTCAACAGGTGGCAGTTTGTTCACTCCACACACACCAGTTGTGTGATCCTTTTGATCTCTCTGCCTATAAACTGTTTGCGTCCTCCTCTCTCGCTGCTCCTGATGAAAGGGTTATGCTCCGAAAGCTTGTGATTTCAATAAACCTGTTGGAATATGACCTGGTATAGTATGATTTTGGACTTCAGCTACATAAGCAACAATGTTTGCTGTTAATCAGACTGTTTTGCTTTCAGACCAATTTTCAGAGTCACCATTAGGAAATGTATCAGCATATAATTCAATGTCAAATCAGGTACAGAATGTAAAATAAAGAAGGAAAGATTGCATTCAAACAGAGAGGTTATCTAAAGCAAATAAAACTTATTTCCTTATTAAAAGCAAATAATGTGTTGTGCATCTCAAAGTTCATATTCCAGATGGAGTTTTGGAAGTAACTAAGACTCGCTGCATTAAAAATTTTACTTAAACTGAAAACATTGACTTAGCTTGTTTTCCATGTGAAGTAGTGGGAATATAATGTGTGTAGTAGTACCATGCAGGTCAACCCATTTCAGTGCTGAGTCTCTGATTCACGATATTAGTGTAAACTGCAGCTTCTTAAGGATCAAGGCAACTCTGACAGCAACTTCCTGAACTACACATCTCCGATTGGAGGAAGTTCATGTCTGATCTACACTTCAATAATAGTGAACATGTTGCCATCATTTTACAGTGAAATCTGGCCCGCAGTAAATATTTATCGCATATAATTTTCATATTTTAATGTCTGAATATATACTGAATTTTCATTCTCACTAAAATTCCTAAATATGAAAAAATTGAACTAAGAGTGAATAGTTAAAATGAATCTGTAGCGAAAAGACTTGGAATTGTGAAACTATTTATTTGCCCTGTATTCAGTAAGATAAAAATTAGATTAAAAGTTTACTTTGTCAAGATGCCCCCTTGGAAATGCAACTCAAGATGCTTGAAAGGCCTGCCGATTAAAATTAATGGCAAAGATTTCAATCTCAGTGGTTCTGAAAACTGACAGATGTCTCTGATTGGAGCATAAGATGATGCACCTCTGGAAATGCATTCCTTCACTTGAAGGAAAAGTCAAGATTGATCGGAAGTTTCAGAACAAAATATCTTTTCCTGCTTTTTGTAGTAATAATATCAGAATCCCTACAATGTGGAAACATGTCCCTCATCCCAACAAGTCCACACCGACTGAGTGTCCCATCCAGACTCTTGCCCCATAACCCACCTAATCTACGTATCCCTCAACACTATAAGCAATTTTCCATGGCCAATCCACCTACCCTACACTTCTTTGGACTGTGGGAGGAAACCCACGCAGACACGGGGAGAATGTGCAAATTCCACGCACACAGTCGCCCGAAGCTGGGATTGAACCTGGGTTCCTGGTGCTGTGAGGCAGCAGTGCTAACCACTGAGTCACCATGCTGCCCAATGTATTTGAAGACACCTAACTGATTATGCTCTTAAACTCGACAATTCCAATCTCTTGATTTAACAATTGCAGTACCCTCGTTAAAAGAACTGGGGGTACTTATTATTCCTGTTTACAGATATTGAGGAAATCTAGGGAGCAGAGGGAAAAAAGGCTGAAGGTGGTAGATCTTGCAGCTTTGCTCAAAAAGTTGATATTGCACTGGGGATGGATGATGTAATGGGGAAACCAAGACCTTTGCAAAAATTTATGTAGAATTAAAAAGAACAAAATAGTGTCTAGTGCGATAGTCGGGTAAAAACATAAAATAAACGTGGATGTTTCTCAAAGGAAAAGCTAACGTGGCATGGTGGCTCAGTGGCTAGCACTGCTGCCTCACAGCACCAGGAACCCGGGTTCAATTCCACCCTCGGGTGACTGTGTGGAGTTTGCACATTCTCCCTGTGTCTGCGTGGGTTTCTTCCCACAGTCCAAAGATGTGCAGGCTAGATAGATTGGCCATGCTAAACTTCCACAGTGTCCAGGCTTGTAAGTTAGGTGGATTAGACATGGGAAATGCAAGGTTACAGGGTTAGAGTATGGGAATGGATCTCTGTGGGATGCTGTTCAGAGGGGTTGTGTGGACTTGTTGGGCCAAATAGCCTGTCTCCACTCTGTAGGGATTCTGTAAAAACTGGGCTCGAAAGGGCTTCTTTGTGGAAGCAAAGGGAATGGTTGTGGTCCTCAGCAAATAAAGTTTATAGAAAAAGAAGTGTAGAAGTCTCTTGTGTATTCAACATTTGTTTCATGAAGCTTCGCTAACCTGAATGGATCAAGTGATGCCTATGCCCATTTTAAATATGTATTTTTGGTCACTTTTTTAAAAACTACTTAGTCCATAGAAGTCCAAAGCATTAACTCCGAGATGATTGTGTGTGTGTGAGTGTGTGTGTCAACCGTTTTAAGTGGGCCCAATATGGTGCCATTACTGACCATCCTGCTCTGAAATAAAGGGAGCTAAATGCTTTGTGGCAAGACAATATTGTAAGCAATTTTGCAAAATCAAACATAGATTAAAAGAAGACAGCTGGAACAAGTTTGCAGCAATTGCAGAATACAGAAAATCAAAATAATGAAGAAATTGAAGTTGAACATTTCCTAAGCAAAGTAAAAGATCTCCAGTTGTGGTCTGCAGAACTGGAAGACAATGATTTTGTGTAGGAGGTTAAACATGAGACATGGACTGGATTTATTTTCTTAGAGGAGCTCTTGGACTGACCTAAAGAAATCTAAATTCAAGGTTAAAATTGCAGGGACCAGGAGAGAGACACCTCAACGTCAAGGACCAGATCACCACAAATCTTGGACACAAAGGCAGAAGAAGTAATGCAACTCTGTACATCTTGAGAACCAGCAAATATCTCTGCTCATGCATTTATATAGAAAGTTAGTAGTAACACAAGGTAACAGTGGAGCAACATTTTGTAATGAATTTCCAAAACTGGTTGAGGGTGTCGGAAAGCTAAAGCAAGAATATATTACTCTGCTCCCCATATACTAAACTCATCTGCTTATTTACATCTTTTGGCATAATTTGATAGGATGCTGCATCGAGGTGTAATCTTGCCCATTATCGAGCTTACAAAATGGTATTAAGGGCTACTGGTAGTCCCTAAACCAAAGTGATTCAAAGGGCAATACATCCAATGTCTACTGGGTTACAGTTTTGTGCCAATCCTGCTATCTGGCAGATACCCTTTGACTAAGAATGCAACTTGCTCACAACATACATTCATGCCTTTCAGTCAGTATTGTTTTAATTGACTAACGTTAGGCATATCCTTTGTGCTAGAAATCTTTCAACATGCAGCGTCTAGCGTCCTTGAAGGCAAAGGGGCATTAATTTGTCACATTGATAACACTGTCAATGAGCATGTTATCCAAGAAGTATGTTGAGTTTGTGATGTTTTAAGAATGTGTGCAGGTAGGCCTCACTTTGAACAATAAGTGAAGAACCACTGCT